TTTTTCACTCTCTTTAGGCGCTGATTTTACCCCTGTTTGCCCTGCCACTAGCGGTGACTGATGTTTGAACTCCCAGTTTGTTATTTTTCAATCTTTATACCTTTGATGTTGTTGATTGTACCTTTAGTGAACTATAAAAGGACCTTCTGCAGATGTGTGTGTTTTGTTCCATTCATAGTCTTTGTTTCCCATTTGAGATCTTTCGCTTTTTAATGTACTAACATGTGGCCTGCTTGTATGTTGGGACAGCATAGTCATCTACTCAAAATTTTACCACCAAATTGTCGACTTCATTGCCACTTTTTAAATGAATTTTGAGTTGAGTATTGGACTTGAAAGGTTCTGATGTTGGTTCGTGGTCCACGTGCATTTCCTCCTGCGTCCTTTTGCTTAAGGAATAATTAACATAATTCTGTTTCCTTCTCAACCAAGTTCAAGGTTATTAGACGGGTTTAGATCACCGCTTTCGCGAGTTCCAGTTGTAAGGTATTCTTGCAATTCTCGTAGGCAAGCGCTATTTACTTGGCAATTATCTGATCTCACCCGGATTTTAGTGTTGATATGTCCACTGAAGATTCAAAACAGCAGAAGGCAAATGAAACCACTGGTAATGAGTCGGTGAAGCTGCCTCAGAAGCGAATGTATCGCCAAAGGGCACACTGCAATCCCTGGTCGGATCACTGTCTCAGCTATCCTGTGCGCCCCGAACTTTTCCAATGGGGTGAACTTTTTGACGGCAAAGTTAATCCGCCCGTCAGTATGGTCGATGTTGGATGCGGCTACGGTGGCTTGCTTTTCAGTCTTTCCACCCTCTTTCCTGAAGCACGTATTGTTGGCATGGAGATTCGGCTCAAAGTCTCGGACTACGTGCAGGTACTATGATACGGTTAGTTGAATGAAATTAGAAGTTGGTTTGGCATCACATTACAAAAGGGTTTCATGATTTTATTGCATTGGAGGGTAAGTAATGCTTTGTCTCCTTGTATCAAATGCTGGTCCGCTGCTATTGCCCTAATGCTTTGGTAATGGAGGTAGCTTCACAGCATTAATACCTAATAGGCATTGCAATCCTCTCTCATTTTGCTAAGTGATAGGATTGCTGTGTCAAATGTGTGCGTGTGTATGTTGATTGGATGAGGTGTTACAGAATAAATTTGCCAAGAGTGTTGTCTGAGTTTCCTTTTTTAAGAACAAAAAAGATT